AAAAAAAAAAAAAAAAAAACTCATTTTGAGGAATATTTTTGTATAAGAACATGCTCAAGACGGTTAACAATCGTATTTTATCAGTATATTTTAAACTCAAATTTTATATTTTAAAAAATATTATAAATAAAAATATAAATTTTTAATATAAGTATATATTTTTGTTAAGAAAAAGTACGATAAAAGAGCGACTCACACAATGATGTTCAAGGTTAAAGTAGAAGAAAAGTATAGAATTGAATGGTGTTATTAGTTAAAGAGATGGCTAAAGCCTAAAAAGGTTTGACTGGAAAAGGAACAGAGATTGTGGAATTTTGGTGGAAGACTTACTTGAGCAATAGGCATCAACTTATGAAGTCAAAATGTAAATGGAGTTTATTTTTCAAGCATTTAAGTATATGCCAAGTCAGTGATATAATTAGTACGAATTTCGTACGATGAGCATGTCACAACGGGCTGGCAGGACGAGCCGCCATAACCCGCCACTTGGTGGAGAGGGGCGGGCTAGTCTTGCCCACTCCCGTCATGTGTTGCAGGTAGGCGGGTTGGCCCGCTAACTTTTTTTTTAAGAAAAAATGAGAAAAATATATTATGCAACTAAGTTATCATTTTTATTTACATGATTACAACTCATATATGTATTTGTAGTTTAACTAAATTAATCAACTTTATTTGCAAAGATATCTAAAGCACAATTTTAGCAAACTCTATAAGTTACCACTGTGTAGACGTCACGGTAATTCTCCCCCACCTTCTCATTCTGTTGCTTCCTCAGAGCTCAGACTTGAGTCTTATCTTTTATAGGTTTGGCCTCCTTTTCCTTAAAGGTGGTGGCCCCCGGCACCTCGAAGGTCGGTATCGACATCGACTCCTTAGCCATGATATGTTATTGGTCGGTTTGTTCTAGCACAATGACCAATTGAAAATTGTATTCGAATTTAGGCCGGCCTGCACTGACACCATTAAGGTCTTTTGGTAGTAGGGCTACATATTTTGTTCTCAGTCGATGAAACGGGTGATGTAGTATTTCAGGTACTCCTTAGCTCCTTGGACAATGTTGGTGGTAGACTACTTGGGAATGATGCTGGTACTCTCTGTGCCTTGGGTCCCAGTGTAAGGGAGAACATCCAACATCCGAGGGCGTCCCCAACCCCGTGAAGGTCCATCCAGGACGTGTACAAGACGACGTGGGCATCAAGGTTTGAGCTTCTGTCATATAGTCCAATTTGGGGTACTTTGACCTTCTCGGGCAATGTTCATGGAGAATGTCTTCGGAGAGCGGGAAGGTCGAGTCGATCAAAACGGCTGCTGGATCTCATCAGAGGTGGCGGTGGCAACCTCCGGCTATACTTTGTCGGGCTTCTAGGTTGGCAATCTTCTTTTGCAAGGCGGTGACCTCGTTGGAGTCGCGACGATTAATTTTCCCCTAAGATCGTCTACCTCAGGTTGGATCGACTGTCTTTTCTTTGTAGGCCCTGGTCGCATGGTTTCGAGGACTAATTAGCCATGGTTTGCGACTGACCCGATCCCTTATCTTTAGTTCTGA